TCCTCCCGAGCCATGCGGAGGCTCGTCCTCCTGCTCTGCACCGGCGTGACCTGTTGCGTGGCGGCGGAGACCGCGCTGCTGGGAGGAGGTGGGGGAAACGCGGACCCACGCGGGACGGGGAGGCACCCCCGGGGGGGGGTTTTTGCTCATTCCGGGGGGGGCTGAAGCAGGTTCCGAGGCGCTTTGCTGCCCCTCCTCTCCTCCTCTCCCTGCCCTTTGCAGATGGCAGCATCGCCGAGCTGCTGGAGGACACGCGGGACCGCGTCCCCCCACGCACGGCGCAGGTGAAGTTCAGTCTCCGCTCGGCGCGGGACGGCGAGGAGGAGGGTTGCGCGCTCAGCATCGGGCAGCGCGAGCGTCTGGAGGAGTGCAGGTTCAACCTGACAGCCAAAACCTTCCTCATCATCCACGGGTGGACGGTGAGTCCCGGGGATCCCACGCGGCTCCGGGCGATGCTCGGTGGTCGATCCGGCCGCTTAGGGAGGAGCCTGCCCTGGAAAGGGGCTGCGTCGTGGGAATAGGGGGGATTTGGGACAATTCTGCACGTTTTGGGCTCTGGGGACTCATGGGAGGTGCACCTGAGGTCGCTGGAGCAAAGTGAGGTGGGGCAGAGTTAAAAATTCGGAAGTCACCCCGCTCATCTCAGGATCACATCTGTGGAGTGCAAACGTGGTAAAGGAAACTTGGGATTTTCCCTAAAATCCAACTTTGAATGGGGTAAAGGGAACATGAAATTTTCCCTAAAGTCCAACTTTGAACTTGAGATTTTTCCCTCAAATCCACCTAACTGACCCCTCTGAAGGTGGCACTTGGCTTGACACCCAATTCTGGAATTTTTAATTCTGGAATTTTAAATTCTGGAATACCGCAGTTTTGAACTTCTGCTCCACCATCTCCATGATAAAGAAATGGGACAAACAGATTTTATCGAGCTTCTTTGCACTGCATCTGATGTGGGACCAGGGGATTTATCAGCTCTACCAACTGGTGGTGCCAGGGCTGGCAAAATAATTTTGCAATCCAACAGAATTTCTGAAACTCTTAAGAAAAAAAGAGTGATAAGGTGGCATGTTAACAAATGCCTCCCCCTCCTGCCTTAAAGGCGAGGTGGCTAATTACAGCCAGAGCCTCTCAAAACCTGTTTTTCTTTCCCCATTAAGTGCAGTGCTGAGGAATGGAGCATTGCAGCTGGAGCAGAATATGTAAATGATATGCAAATAAGTGAGAAATATGTAATGTGGGTCCTGGGGAGTGGAAACTAACACCTGAATCTCTTTCTAGATGAGTGGCATGTTTGAAACCTGGCTGGGGAACTTGGTGGCTGCTCTTCAGGAGAGGGAGAAGGACGCCAACGTGGTGGTGGTGGATTGGCTGGCGCTGGCCCACCAGCTCTACACCGATGCCGTCAACAACACGCAAATTGTTGGAAAAAGCATCGCGAGGTTGCTGGACTGGTTACAGGTAACAGGAATTAAGGATGGGTTCTGTTGTAATGCTCCACGACAGATGGTTGCACAAGGGAATGGAGCTCCAACGCTCACCAGTGGTGAAGGTTCTGGTGTAACCCAAAGCCCAAGGGTCGGTGGGGTGATGGGTCATGGCTAACGTGCTGCAGGGCTTTCCTGGGAGATTCGGCTTTGCAGCATCCTCAGATTAGTGATGTTGAGGTGGGCTTCAAATTTAGGAGTCCTTCCTCCCACCTGAGCAACATGAACTCAGGAGTTGGGCGTTCAAAGTCAACGTTGGTCCAAGAAGAAGAAGGCCCCTGGTGCTACGCTTGGCACTTGAGTCTGTGGCCAGGGCTGAGGGCTGCTGGGGGGAGGCTCCTCCAGATGCTGCTCGGAAAAAAAAAAAAAAATCATAATGGGGGTTGAAAGCTGGGTGCTGTGGTTGGGGGCAAACCACAAGTGCCATCCAGACCACTCAACCTGTACTTGTCATGATGAAATCAAGAATGAAGCATGCTTGACTGCCCCTCCCTCCGGTCTCTTAGAATTAAGACTTTAGAGACCTGCAGAGAGGAGCAGGGCCAGATACCGTGAAAGATTATCAAATTATTGAATTATCAAATAATTAAATTATCAAATATTTTTTTTTTCCTTGCAGGAGAACCCGCTATTCCAACTGGAGAATGTCCACCTGATCGGGTACAGCCTGGGTGCCCACGTCGCCGGCTTTGCTGGTAACCACGTCCACGGGACAATAGGCAGAATTACAGGCAAGGGGCTTTTTAAGCAGTTTCTTACCCTTTCCTTAGCAGCTGTGAGTTTCCCCGAAGATGCTCGTTTCCTGTGCTGCTGCGATGTGGTTTTGGGCTTGCTCATTCAGAAATAAAGTTTCCTGAGAATGGGTCTCTTCACATGAGAAAATATCTTAATTTTGAACCCCAAACGTAGGGGAGATTCGAGGAAAAACCTTTCAGGGGACAACCTGGTCTTGAGTATATTCGAAATTAAATGTGGGTTCAAAACAAGTCCAGCTCAAGCTCAGAACATCCCAAATCCATAATGGGATTGCAGATGCAGGGAATTATTTTAATTTTATTTTTTTTCCTGTGTGGGTGGTGAGGCAGTGGCCCAGGTTGCCCAGAGAAGCTGTGGATGCCCCATCCCTGGAGGGGTTCAAGGCCAGGCTGGATGAGGCTTTGGGCAACCTGGGCTAGTGGGAGGTGTCCCTGCCCATGGCAGGGGGTTGGAACTCGATGATCTTTAAGGTCCCTTCCAACCCAAACCATTCTGTAATTCTATGAAAAGTGGTGTGGGACATCTTCATTTGTTCCCTCCGTGGAGAAATCCTGGGTGACAGTATCTGCAAGGAGGCACCTGGTTAGGAGGGATGCTAGCAGCAGGCTCCTGGCTCTATTCCATACAAAATAATCCAATTTCTTTCCTGGCTTCTTGCTTTTTTGTCTGAAACACCAGGCTTGGACCCAGCTGGCCCTATGTTTGAAGGAGTTGACCCTAGCAAGCGCCTCTCCCCGGATGATGCTGACTTTGTGGACGTCCTGCACACCTACACAAGGGAGACACTAGGAGTTAGCATCGGAATCCAGATGCCTGTAGGCCATGTTGACATCTACCCCAACGGGGGAGACTTCCAGCCTGGCTGTGGTTTAAGCGATGTCTTGGGAGCCATTGCCTATGGGAGTAAGTTCTCATTACTTATTTTGCTTCTGGTCAGTGGAGACTCCTCACAAATAGACTTGGCTTAATACTGGGGGATGATCTGATTTAGAAATTGGAGGAAACTATTTTTTCCTTCTAAACTACCTGTACTACTGGAGATAGTTGCTAGAAACTAGACCTGCTTTTAATTCTTAAGTAGCATCTTCTCACTCTAACACCTGATCATAAACGATGGTCTTAAGTTGGGTCAAGAACCCTCTTTAAACCTCTCTTCATGGTAGAGACTAAGTGAACGGTCCTCTTCAAGTGTCTTCCACTGACCTCTAGAATTGCTGCTGCTTGAAAAACAACCAAGTTTGGTGATGGTCAACTCATGTTGGGCTACAAAAAGTCATATCTTACCAGCTGCTGGGGTGATGAATGCTTAAACAAAACGTATCCCTTGCAACTCTGCTCCTCTAGCAATTGGTGAAGTTGTTAAATGTGAACACGAGCGGTCTGTGCACCTCTTCGTGGACTCCCTCGTGAACCAAGATAAACAAAGCTTCGCCTTTCAATGTACCGATTCCAGTCGCTTCAAGAAGGGCATCTGCCTGAGCTGCCGCAAGAACCGCTGCAACGGCATCGGCTATAACGCCAGGAAAACGCGCAACAAAAGGAACAGCAAGATGTACTTAAAAACGAGAGCCGACATGCCGTTCAAAGGTATGTCTCTTAAAAGAAGCATGATCTCATCTCTAGAAGTGGACTCCCAAAGTTGATGTTGGGAAAGATGTAGAGGTGGAAGAGTAGAATCATAGAATAGTTTGAGTTGGAAGGGACCATGGAGGTCATCTAGTCCCCCCCTCCTGCCATGAGCAGGGACACCTTCCACCAGACCAGGTTGCCCAGAGCTCCATCCAACCTGACCTTGAATGTTTCCAGGGACGGGGCATCTCCCACCTCCCTGGGAAACCTGTGCCAGTGTTTCACCACCCTCAGTGTAAGGTATTTCTTCCTTATATCTCATCTAAGCCTCCCATCTTTTAGTCTAAAACCAGGCGTTAGTCTTTTTGTGTTACCTGGCTGTGTTGCTGCTCTGTCGCATCACTGTACTCCTTCCTCTGTGTAAATTTGGCTCTGGCCATAAGGACACTTGGCCTTTGGAGCAGGACTACAGCTTATAGACCTCATACTTGCAAGACCACCCAACCTTAGAACAGTGTAAGGTTTGGGGAGCCCTCCCCAGAGTGGACCTGTTGTGTAAACGTCAACTTTATAATCAGTAAGGGCAAAAAAAAAGTGATCAGTGATATCTCAGTAAAGCAAGGGTCCAGCCTTTGCCAGCCAACACGATTTCCCAAAGAGCGTTGCTGGGCAATGTTGTCTCTTAACCAAGTTGCTTCTGTCTCTGCTCTCCTTGTTTCTCTCCAGTCTACCATTATCAGATGAAAATGCACGTCTTCAGCTACAAGAGCTTGGGAGAGGCAGATCCCACTTTCTCTGTCACCCTTCACGGCACCAACGGAGACTCAGAACCTCTCTCTTTAGAAATGTAAGTAAGCTGGCCCATTGTGCCTACCTAGGTGAGAAGGCCACTGGGACTAGACAAGGTGCCATCATTCTGGTAACACTCGCCTAGCAGCCTCACTTCATCGCTATTTCAAACACTTTCCATCCAGTAGCTTAATTATAATTTATTGCTGAGAAAGCAGTTTGATGTGCCCAGTCCTCTATATCCTAGCCTTCGTGGCTTATTGTTGAAGTGCTTTGTTTTGCCTTGAGAGGTAGTCTGGAGGCACCCATATCTCTGGAGGCACTGTTGACCTCCTGTAGCCTCTCCTAGAAGAAACTCAAGGTCTGAAATTCACCCTTAAGGTGTAGAAGGATGGCTGGGATGAATACACGATGCATTGTATTGAACCAGCTATCCAAACTCACCTTTGTTAGCATCATCAGTAACTAACTGGTGACAGCTGAACATAAAGCTCTTGACAACCTGCAAAGGGCTCTGTTTGAGAGCATGGAATGAAGGAACATCTGGCATGCTTCCATAAGGAAGAAATGTTGAGTCTCTATTTGTCTTCCAGGCTTGATCAAATTGGTCTAAATGCTACTAACACCTTCCTGGTCTATACCGAAGAGGATATGGGTGAACTCTTGAAAATAAAGCTCACCTGGGAGGGAACAACTCAGTCATGGTACGATCTATGGAAAGAGCTGAAGAGCTACTGGTATCGACCTGCAAAGTCTGCCCAGGAACTGCATATCAGACGTATACGCGTGAAATCTGGGGAAACGCAACAGAGGTAAGAGTTGTGTTAAAATGCGTGTGAGCCAACTCGAAATTTCAATCGAAAGGAGAAGTATTCAGAAAGTAGTGAGATTAGGTGGTATCCTGAGCTGTCTGTCATCTTTAGTGATGATCTTGTAGCACCAGCTCATGCTCTGTCATGGTGGAGGAGAGTGGGTTACGTGCCACCATGAGGTTGCAAATTAGGCTTTAAGCAAAACCAGACACTGCAGATGAGATCCGAGATGTTCTTTTGCTTTATTTAGACACTGTGACCCTGTCTTGCCTGGGGACTAAATTAGCCTACTTAGATTGTACTTGAAGGGTTAAAGTATGGCAGTGCCAAAAATACCGAAATATAGATGGGCACGGCTATTATTTACATCCATCATGTGCTGATTTGGCACAAGCTAGACCGGTAGATATTTTGCATCCTAGTTTCTACAATCTATGAAACATAGGGGTAGTAGAAACAAAGATCCCCAAATAAAACATTGAAGCAGGAAATAAAACAGCCACTCAACAGGCTAATGATGTGTCAAGATGCTCCATAGGAAGGATGTCCAATCCAACAACTTGTCCTAGAATTAACGGTAATCCATATTACATGTTAATTTGTTAATCACAGAGACAACAGGTACCTTCTCTTGACTTTCATTAATTCCTCCTAGGTTTGCTTTCTGCGTGGAGGATGCCCAGCTCACCAGTATATCTCCTGGCAAAGAGCTCTGGTTTGTGAAGTGTGCAGAGGACTGGAGGAAAAGGTAGGGGAAAAAAAAATCAGCTAAGAGAAATCCTGCCTGATGTGTGTGGCTGTGCTGGGATGAGTGGAACCAGTTGGATTTTTTTGTTTGTTTGGACTCCTGGAACCTGTTTTTCTTTCAAAAAAACCCCAAACAATCCACTAATAAATTCTAGCCCAACATTCCCAGCTATCAGACTTAATTTTAATTTACGTCATAACTAGGTGATATTATCCTCACTTCTAATCTTGGTTTATCATCTTGTACCTTTACATCATCCCTGGGTCTAAAGAACCTGTCTGCTTGCTGTCATGGTAGATGCCAAAAATGGGGCTACCAATACCCAAGATCCTTGCAATAGTGGAGAGCTGATTAGGGGCATCTATTAAGGGCTGTAAATCAGGAAAGCTGGGAATAAGCAGGGTTTGTTTCAGCCTAGTAGAAGATCTTGAGCTGCCAAGAAATCTCTTGATTAAAGCTTGAGCTCAACTGGCTGAGCAACTGGGGACTTGCCGTGGTGTTACGGTACCAACTCCTCCCGCTTTGTCCCAGGCTATGCTGTTCTCTCCTGGTTCAGGAGAATGTAAACTCAGCCCTTGCCAGAGCACCTCAGCCCTGCTTAACCTCTGCGGGACTTTCCAGACACCTAGGATCAGTCCTAAGAACATGACTTCCAGTAAGTCTGTTTTTTTTTTCCAGTAAGTCCATGTTTTGAATGAGTCCC